TCGTTGACACGAGAGTTGAGGATGAATCGAGAAGTGTTTTAAAAAAATACGAGATGGTGAATTTAATTGGCTCGAACGAATTTGTCGGTCGGAGTCGCGGACCTTCGGTTATCGCCCATTGATAGTGAGTAATTTCTATTAATAATTCGCAATCAAGGTCACTACCAGTCGCAAACCCAGAGATAGCCGCATACTCGTATTCGTCGGGCCACATGTTTTCCATACGCAAGATAGTCAATGTATTCCACGTTGGGTATCGTCTTTCAGCGTTCAGAAACAGAAAAAAAAAAAAAAAAAAAAAAAAGAAAAGAAAAAGATAAAAACGGCAAATTATAATAAATTACAATACATCAAAGAAACTAAAGCCTCGCAACACTTTTCAATCGTGGAATTAAATTACGATAAAATCGAGATACGATAAAAAAAAAACCAAACAAGAAGATTAAATTTAAGAAATAATCGAGAGAATGTATAACAACCGTAAAAAAAAATACCGCTTAAAAATATCTAGAACGTACGAAAATTCGACTACTCCGTTTCAAACCTTTTTTTTACCCAAATTTTATTTCTTTTTTTTTTTTTTCTTTTCTCTTTCAGTATCATTTCAATCGATTGGAAGATCGACAGAAAAGATACCACGTTGCTGCTTCGATCCACCGATAGATAGCGATTAATTAATTCCTGTACGATAATTAAAATGGCGTCGGTCAATTGTCCACCTGCCGAGACATCCGTTTTACCGTGACGTTTTTTTCATCGACCGAGCGATATTCGAATCGATTCGAGTCGAATTGAATTCGAAAATTCAATTGGTTCGCATTGACCGTGAATCATCCCCGTATTCCGAATGTTTGGAATCGAGATCTTAGAACTTCCTTGGCGCCAATACGTATCAACAAACGATCCTCGTGCATCTTTTCACCATTCTATTCTTATCTTCCGGATTTAAATCTTGCGGATTTATTCTAGGCGAATTCATTGAGCGTGGATTTTCTTTTTTTCCGCTCTTTCGTACACGTGCACGATACGTTTATTTGCGGCCGAGTAAACATCGTAACGAAATTTTCTTCTGGTCATCTTTAAAATTAACGTTTATTTAAAATATCGCGTTATAAATAAGCGTTGTCTCTTTCGAAAATGTCGGTGTTTACCAACGTTGTACGCCTCTCTTTAGCTTCGAGGAAACGAAGAAGTATATATATATAAATATATTTCAGAACTTCGAATATTTCAATGCATTTAAACGTATACGTTCGATAAAAATAAAAAAATTTAACCAATTTATTCAAAAAAAAAAAAAAAAGATTGAGAAACGTTGCTCTAGTTTCCATTTATCTACAAAAAAGAGAGGAAAAAGAAAAAAAACAATTTCTCTCGTCAAATTCAAGAGATAAAAAGTCAGGATATCAAAAATGAACGATGACTCGTCGAAGATAGCACGTTTCTGGATCACTGGCTGGCTCGTTAACATTCTGTGCAGCGTACAACCGAGTCTCGTGATCGGCTCGGTCGACGCAAGGGAGTCGAAAGCAGAAGGCCGTTCAGAACGGCGTGAGTCATTCGCCGGTTTTTCTTCATAATTCTAAGGCTGCCCGTTTTTTTTCCTCATCCGTGCATTCCGCGTACGCAGTTCCCGATCGACTCGAGCGCAAATATTCCCCCTACGGCGCACCTCCTGTCCCTCCTTTACCCACCGTTTTTCGCCGTTTGGTGAAAAGCTGCCTTAACGCGCGCACGCGCACCAACCGACCGCCATTCAGCCTTCCGAAGCCGAGTGATAAACGGGCGGCCGATAAGAGCGAGTTTTCGATTCCGTTATTCGTTTCGACTTTATTGCTCTTCTCTTAGGAATAGAAATCCTATTACGATCACGCGATTTTTATTTTCCCTTTATCGTTCGTATTATTCTTTTTCTTCAACTTTTCAACTTTCGAATAGATTCGAAAGAAGAAAGAAAAAAAAAAAAAAAAAATGTCCTCGACGAGCGAAACAACAACTCTCCGAAAATATCTCTCGATGACTAAGCGGCCTTTCGAAAAGAAAGAAAGAAAGATGAGTGTCGTTTTGAATTATTATTATTATCGTCCCGTACGATTATTAATAAGAATTCGATCGATATTTTTAATTCACGAGTTTCGAATTCGAGGCACACACTTTGGCAGAAAGGAGGCCGAAAGGAAAATAGAGAAATTCTCTATCGAAAATCTACGAAATATTCTACCAACGATTCAAGAATCTCTCTCTCTCACTCTCTCTCTCTCTGAAAAGCGATCGAAACGAGAAGGAGGAAAAAAGAAAGAAAGGAAGAAAGAGAAAAAGAACGCGCGACCGAGCGTTCAAAGGTGAGAAAACGCGTCGAGTGTGATCATCAACGAAGCGACAGAGGGGGGAGAGAGGTAGAGGGGACAGAGAGAGAGAGAGAGAGAGGAGGAAGAAGGCGACGAACGGAGCGCACGAATATACGCACGACACGACGCACGGCCGATACAAACACACGAGCCGTGGCAAAAGGTGGGGATCTATTCATAGGAATGACTCACGTTGGAGATGACGCCGCGAATAGTCGGGCACAGAATTTGCGCACTACACTGTGCCACCAGTGCGCCTCCCTGATTCCATCCGCCAAACATCGCGAATATCTCGATTAAGTGTCGCGGAGGCATCCACGCTTTTCCACCGCATCGCTTTTCTTCTTTTTCCCCACCGTTCACACCGACACGGAGAAGGAATCGTCGTCGTAGTCGTCTTCCCCCTCCCCTTTCCATCCGCTTCCTCCGCGTCTACTCCCTCCCCGCCCCACCTGCGCAGATTACAGCAGTTGCAAAATTCCGCTGCAACAGCTGGCCCGCTTAGCTTTCACGTGATTTCGCCGTGTCTTTTCTTTTCGTGTTTTTTTTTTGTTTCAATGCAAATTTTGGGGGATTAACTGAGGATCGCTTCGAGATCTTTGAAGATTTCTTTTTCTCTGCTTTTTCATATTTGATGACGGATTTCTTGGATCTTTTGGTATAATTATTAATTTTGATTTTTTTTTTTTTTTGTTTTTTGGATATTAAAGAGCTCTTTTTCTTTAGTATTTAGGATCGGATGAATTATGGTACTTTGTTCCAACGAATTGGTTTCGGTAATGGTCTTAAATCTTTAATTGGTACAGAAATTGCCCGGCCTAGGTAGGGAACGTAATCTTTCTTATTCCGCAAAATAATCATAAAGATAAGGCGTGTACGAATTTTATTTACAATTAGTTTTATCGCGGTGAGAATAAAAAAAAAAAAAAAAAAAAAAAAAAAAAAAAAAAGAAAGAAAAGAGGAAAGAAAAGAGAAACACGCGAGCGATTCTAAAATGTAAATTTTTCGAATCGCAATAAACGAACGATCGATCAAAACTCGTTCAACTCGTTCCCCTGTTTTACAAAATAATAAATATTTATCGGAATCAAAATCTCATTCATTTTCCTTGGCAACTGAATGAACTAGTAAGTCTTGATAACACTTTCATATATCCAATTTCCCTCTCCCTTCTCATTTTCCATGCAATCTTCCTAACGACCTTCCTCCTTCGTTCGAGTTCGAGCCGCAGCGCGCGCCATTATGCCGCGTTCACAATCGTCGCTTGTCAATCGCGAGTCGGTGTAATTACGCGCTGCATCGTGAGCACACTTTCACGAGTTATTCTCGCAAAACTTCGATGTTTAAAAATACCAACCAACTCGGCTTAACTCAAGAAGAGACGTTCTTCTCGAATTTCTAAAATTTCTAAAATTTCTAAAATTGTAAAAAAAATTTCTAATTTAGAAATAATCCGATTTATTTGCCCCGAATTTTTCTCGGAAAACTGACTCCATCCAATCAAAATGCCAGATTCGACATTTTTCATTTTGAATGTAAAATAAATTTTGGCCGACGGGAGCCACGTGCGCCGCGAATAGAAACTAAACAGCGGAAAATTCAGCGGAATCTTCGTTTCATTCATGACGCGCGAGTTCACGTGCCGTGTATATCGTGGACACGATTTTTAATAGAATCAATGTTTATCGCTACCGATCTGCGTCGTTTCGATTCTTTCAATGCCATCGCCGTTGTTATCGTAGTTGGATTCTAGATGCAAACACGGGACATGGAAAAATACGAGCATTATCAATCTTGAACGATTGACTAATTCGTGACGATAGACGCTAGTTTGTGACGCACGTTCAAGCGCGTGAATTCGTTATCGATTCCATTCGATTCGACTCCTTTCGATCGAGCGTTGCGAAGGAATAGATCAAGACGAGATAAAGACAGGTTTTGGATGCTGAGCCTCTTTGTCTTACATTTTTTCCTTGCAGAAAAAGTTTCGAGTATATTTGTTGCTTCGAAATTTTTTTATTATTTTGGAGGATAAATTTTTTAAATTATTCCTTGTTATTCGTGAGAGAATATAGCGAAAACGAGATTTTGAATAGTGATAATTTAAAAAGGGTGGGGAAGGTGGAAACGGACGCTCGACGTCCCGTCAATGAGTCGTGCGGCTCGGTTGGTGGAACACCGGTAGCCGCATTCCGTAAAGCGAGCACGTATCTCGACGGAACGAGGCGAGAAAACGCGTTTAGTGGAGTAAAGAAGTACTGTTACTCGACAGAGAGAAGCCACCGCCGGTACGCAATCTTCACGCACCCACGTTTCTCCATTCTCGCTTTTCCATTCAATTTTCCCGCGCAATTTCGTTCCTCGCTCCTCAACGATCCAACCGTAAACATTTTACCTCCTACAGAGATGGTTCAAATTTTATCTTATCATTCCCTCCCCTTTCTCCCCTTTTTCCTTCTTAATTCGTTAAATTATTACATTACAAACTCGTTTTTTAAATTCGTTTTAAAACGAGACGGAGAAAAGTAGCATCATCGTTATTTCCGAAATTCAACCGCTCCTACCACTCGAAACGTATCATTTCTCCACCAAAGTCTAAAATCCTTCTTCAAGAAAAGAAAGAAAGAAAGAAAGAAAAAAAAAGCACTCACCCAAAAGAAGAGCAGGCTCCCTGTTGTCGTCCAACAACGCGACGAGCACGAGGAACAGTGGGTGCTGGACGGGCAGCCGGTCCACGTCGTCGGTGCAATCGTCGTAAACGACGACCTCCCTGTAATGCCTCCTGCGCAGCAACTCCTTCCCCTCCCTCGTGTTCGCGAGGTCGGCGAGGGCGGCCTTGCCCAACTGCAACCTCCTCCTGTTGAACCGATCCGAGCAGTTCACGTTGATCGCCCCCCTCACGTGGTTCACGTTGTACAGTATGAAGGGGCGGCAGTCGAGCACCACGCTCGACGCCTGTCCCCCGTCGCGGGGGCACGATCGAAGCCGTTCCGCCAGCTGGTCGGCGGTTATAGCGTTGGTCCTCTGAAGGACCAGCTGCCTCTGGAGGGTGTTGCTCTCGGACGAAGGGCTGGTCGGCAGGCTGACCGTCTCCAGCTTGCAACGCTTGGTGGACGACTGGTGCTGGAGGTGGTGGAGGTGCTGGTGGTGGAGGTGGTGGTGGTGGTGGAGGTGGTGGTGGCAGTGGCGGTGGTGGACGGCCCCGCAATCGGCCCCGTTCACCCCGCACTCGGACCCGTCGCTCGTCGAGCACCCGCTGTCCACGCCGCTGCTCGTCGACGAGCTGGCCGAGACAGGCGTGGAGGGGGGGGTGGCGGACAGGAAGGCGGCGGACGCGCCGGCCGCCCCCGCCGCGGGCCCCGGCTCGCTCAGGCTCCGATTCAGCACGAGTTTCAGGTTGTCCCGGGAACGGGCCGCGGCCGAGACCGGCTCGCAGCACACAAGGGTGGACATGGCAGGCGACGATTGAGGATCGTTGTGCTCGTTGCCGCGTTGCCGCCCCGTGGTCGGCGCCCTTCTCGCCTCGCCCGTCGTCGTTGCGTCGAGACGCGAGCCGGACCCTGGCCAAACAGAAGAATGAATTGCTTGGTGGTGAACAGGTCGCACGGCTCGTCTCGCACGCTCCGCTTGAGCATCGCTTGAGGATCGTTTGCGTTTAGGGATATGTATATATATATATATATATATATATAATAAATTTGGGGAAAATTTGGGGAAATTTGAGCGAAGGTTATTTGGTTTGATTGAAATGGATGGAGAGGTAGTTTGAGAAATTGTTTGAGTCGTTTGTTTCTTTGGAATCTTTGGTATTCAAGGTGTTTGATTGATTTGTTTCTTTCTTTTTTTTGATAGAATTAATTAATTGTATCGATACTTGGAACCGAGGTTACTCGATTCGACGTGTGAAAGTTTGTTATTTTTTTAAGTTTAAGAGACGCGTTATGGGTTAGTTGATTGAAGGATAGAGAAATTGTTTTTTTGGAATCTTTGATATTCAAGATATTTGTAATATTTTTTTTCTTTGATGGAACGTCTTGATTATCATATTGTAAGATTCCTGCAACTCAAGCAATGCTATCAGAAAAATTTTCTTATTTTTAAGTTTAAGAGATGCGTTATGGATTAGTTGATTGAAGGATAGAGAAATTCCTGCAACTCAAGCAATGAGAGGCTATCAGTCAATGTGAATGGAAAAATTTTCTTATTTTTAAGTTTAAGTGTTATGGATTAGTTGATTGAAGGATAGAGAAATTGTTTGAGTCATTTGTTTCTTTAATATTCCAAAGATCATATTGTAAGATTCCTGCAACTCAAGCAATGAGGCTATCAGTCAATGTGAATGGAAAAATTTTCTTATTTTTAAGTTTAAGGATAGGATGTTATGGATTAGTTGATTGAAGGATAGAGAAATTGTTTGAGTCGTTTGTTTCTTTAATATTCCAAAGATATAACATAACTTACAAATAAATTATTAAATATTATATATATATATAAATAATTTAATTTTAATAATAAATTAAAAATTATAAATAACAAACCAAAAATTTTATAAATTAAAAATAAATTTATAACCCAAATCAAAAATCTTATAAATTAAAAATAAATTTATAAGTATTGTAAGATTCCTGCAACTCAAGCAATGAGGCTATCAGTCAATGTGAATGGAAAAATTTTTTTATTTTTTAAGTTGAAGGATAAAGAAATTGTTTGAGTCGTTTGCTTCTTTGGAATCTTTGATATTCAAGGTGTTTGTAATATTTTTTTTCTTTGATGGAACGTCTCGATTATCATATTGTAAGATTCATGCAAAGCTATCAATCAACGTGAATGGAAATTTTCTTATTTTTAAGTTTAAAAGAAGCATTGTTGGTTAGTTGATTAAAGTACTTTGAGTCGTTTGTTCTTTGGAATCTTTAATATTCCAAAATATCTGCAACTCAACCAAGGCTATTCAATCAATGTGAATACAAAGTTTTCTTTTTTGAATAGAACGTCTTGATTATCTTATTGTAAGATTCTTGCAACTCAACCAAGGCTATTCGATCAATGCGAATACAAAGTTCTTCTTAATTGAAGTTTCTTTTTTTATTTTTAAATTTAAGAGACGTATTGTTGATCAGTTGATTAAACGATAGAGAAGTAATTTGAATCGTTTGTTCTCTGGAATCTTTAATATCCCAAAATATCTGCAACTCAATCAATGCTATTCAATCAATTTGAATGCAAAGTTTTTTAATTTAAATTTCTTATTTTTAAACTTAAGAGATTAGTTAGTTTGTTGCTTAATCGATTAAACTTACTTTGAATCGTCTGTTCTGTATTTTTTATTTGATACAACATCTTAATTATCATTGTAAGATGCAACTATGGCTCAATCAATTTGAATGCAAAGTTTTTTAATTTAAATTTCTTATTTTTAAATGTACGAGATTTTTGCTTAATCGATTAAAGTACCTTGTTCTTTGGAATCTTTAATATTCCAAAATATCTGCAACTCAATCAAAGCTATTCAATCAATTTGAATGCAAAGTTTTTTAATTTAAATTTCTTATTTTTAAATGTAAGAGATTCTTGGTTAATCGATTAAAGTACTTTGTTCTTTGGAATCTTTAATGTTCCAAAATATCTGCAACTCAATCAAAGCTATTCAATCGATGTGAATGCAAAGTTTCTTAATTTAAATTTCTTATTTTTAAATGTAAGAAATTTTTGGTTAATCGATTAAAGTACTTTGTTCTTTGGAATCTTTAATATTCCAAAATATCTGCAACTCAATCAAAGCTATTCAATCAATTTGAATGCAAAGTTTCTTAATTTAAATTTCTTATTTTTAAATGAGATTTTTGGTTAATCAATTAAAGTACTTTGTTCTTTGGAATTTTTAATATTCCAAAATATCTGCAATATTTTTTATAGAATAGATAGAACGTTTCAATTATCACATTGTAAGAATCCCACAATCAAGATTATTCAATCGATGTGAATGCAAAGTTTCTTAATTTAAATTTCTTATTTTTAAACTTAAAAGATTTTTGGTTAATCGATTAAAGTACTTTGTTCTTTGGAATCTTCAATATTCCAAAATATCTGCAATATTTTTTATAGAATAGATAGAACGTCTCAATTATCACATTGTAAGAATCCCACAATCAAGATTATTATTATTCAATCGATGTGAATGCAAAGTTTCTTAAGAAAGTCGATACACTATTAGACGAATTCATAGTCAGAGTTAGTGCTTACGATATTTTCACACCATTTTTGGTTTGAAATACCATTCACAATTTGGAATCCCACCTTAACAGAATCCTTAACTTTTATTTCAATCAAATCAAAATACCAAGTGCTATATCATATTCCTTAATATTAATCAGAATTTGAAATTTGTTAATCCCCAACTATATAAAAATAATTTCTCCAAGTAAGATCCTCTGTTAATTACTTATCGGTTTTAAACTAACTCGAAAATCGAGGTTAATGAAATTTTATATACTGAAATATTCCATTATATATATATAATTATATATATAATAAATATATATATAATTCCATTATATATATATTTCATATATATATTATATATATATATATGAAATATATATATAATGGAATTATATAAAAATAATATATATAATTATATATATCGAGTTTTGACTACTTCTCTCCTGATTAGAATATATATGAATATATATAGAATGTATATATATAATTCCATTATATATATATTTCATATATATATATTATATATATATATATATTTCATATATATATAATGGAATTATATAAAAATAATATATATAATTATATATATCGAGTTTTGACTACTTCTCTCCTGATTAGAATATATATGAATATATATAGAATGTATATATATAATTCCATTATATATATATTACATATATATATAATGGAATTATATAAAAATAATATATATAATTATATATATCGAGTTTTGACTACTCCTCTCCTGATTAGAAACCTCTCTTGTACGCGATATCGCCAGGCAAACTAGGATAGATCTGGCGCGTGGGTCAACGATACCCCGCGAGGGTGGGGGTGGGCGAAGATGACGAAGAAGCCAGCGACCTTTAATCTTTCGTGGAAGAAGCGACAGCTCTCGAACGTGGTCCAACGAATCTCCGATAATACCCTCTAGTCAGTGAGTCTTAACTAATATATAACTTGCTCTCCGTTCAACCTTCCATTCCAATTCCATATCACCACGGATGAAATTGCACGGTGCCCGTCAATTTATTTCGGCCAAAATTTCGAGATTAACCGAGTTAAGGAGTGTTTCGTGCGAGGGGCTCGAGGTTCGAAAAATAGATCTTGCAATTCGATTTCGAATATCGAATAATATTCACGCTAAAAATCACGATTCTTTGCTTGTATACTTTTTACAAATTTGAATGAATCAATATATTAATTCTTCGTTTTAGTACAATGACGAAAATACTGGAAAGACGATCTATTGGACTTGTACTTTTCACGAGTTTGTTAAATTTTTTCTTTTTTCTATTCTTGATTCTATCACACGAGTGGACAATAAACGCTGCAACTTACCTCAAATTTTTTTTAACGTGTCCCTCTGACGTTTTATACATAAATCAATTCCTTAATTACAATCTCATTGGAACACCAAGATAAACCGGCCACTGTCGATTTTTGGAAACAGAGGGAAACAAATGTCCCTGGTGCCAGCCACAGAATTAATTGTTAATTGATTCGAATCGATTTGAATTGTCCCGCCTGAAAGGGGCGGCCTCGAGAAGCGCGGAAGATTTCCTCCTCTGAAAGTGGAAAATCGAAGGCGGCGGCCCGTGTCCGTGTCGACAATGTTTAATGAATTTTGGCACGGTCGGGACCGTTTAAATTTCGCTCGTGAAATTATCACGAGGCTAAGGTAAACAGTAGGATTCGATACATTCGGCGGCGGCGGCGGCGACGGTTTTAAAATAGCGTTACGGAGGCGATGAGTCAAGCCACCGAAATACCCGTATTTGCGGTCGTTTTACGCGGATCACGTCGACGAAAATATTCCACGGCTTGCACAGGTGCTCACCACGACGACGACACGCTCGTTATCCGCGCCCAAACCGACACACGTCCGCCTGTACACCGGCCAGGGAAGCTTGCACGTTATGCACGTTATCCCTGGTCCTGGTGCTTTCTTTCTTTCTTCTTTTCTTCTTTTCTTCTTTTCTTCCTTTCTCCTGATCTCTGTCAGGAGACAGTTTCGGTAATTAATTAATTTCAAGAACGCAATTTTTGTTTGTAACAATCGTCTTTTTTAACTAATTTCTTAAGATAGAGATTTATTAAGATGAGATAAAGATTCCTTTTACTTCATAGAAATTCAAAACTTTGCGAAATTTTTGTTTAATTATTCAACAATTGAAAAGAAACGTTCTTCCATCTTCTCTTAAATGCACGATTCCCTTAACAATTTTTATAATTAATTATTCTAAGAACGCAATTTTTGTCTGCAAGGATCGTCCATTTTAACAATATTTAATTCGATATTTTTTCGTTCCAAAAGGTGACTATTAATTTTTTAAAT